TTGTGGAGTTGAGGTTGGGCCTCAAAAAGCTTACTGTGAATCAGTGTTCTTGTGTTTTTCTTTCCTCTGTAAAGAAAAAAACTTTGTGCAGAAAAAATAGATTTTCTTTAAATCTCCTTGATATTTGTTGCTGATTGGTTGTATATAGTATGAAGCTTGCTTGAGAGCAAAGGTTTTTGCATATAAAAGTGTTTTCCTGTGTGTGCAAAGCTGGCTCCTCTTGTTTTTCAATAAAATTACCAAAAAGGAAATTTTTTTAGAAAACTGGAGATCAGTGGAAAGAGTTTTGAGAAATAACACTGCTTGTTAACCCAGTATTAATAATTAAATAAATAGGATTTTTGCATCACAATACAATACTTTTACAACTTTTGGGTTGATTGTTTCAATTTGTTTAGATAGAGAAGATATTGATATAGAAGGATTTGAAAATAAAGAGGATTTCCAATCCTCCTTAGGTCCCCTTAATCTTTTAAATGTTGGTTCATAAGATCTACTATTTCAGCAAAGTCCTACTTAGAAAGATTGAGCCATTGATTGCAATTGCTAGATTGGTTGTTGGAAGATGATTGGTTGTTGCTAGATTCATTTCCATTCATTGAATTGTTGATATTCCTTTGAGAATATTGGTTGATCAAGTGTTCAGATTGGTTGCAAATAAAACATTACCTTCCATTGTTATCATTGTTGAACTGATTCCTATTGTTATTATTGTTATTATTGTTATAAAACTTCCTAAAGTTATTGCTATTGTTTCTATTGTTGCCATTATTGTTGTTGCGGCATAATCTATAATCACATTGCAAGTGTTCAACTTTTCCACAATTGTTGCAGGTGCAAGTTTCCCTTTGATTTCCTCTTCTATTATTACTATTAATATTACTGTTACCAGTATACCTCCTATTATTTGAAGTTGCCAATTGTTAAAATCTTTGAGAGAGTTGGATAATTGCTGTTTTAATATCCTTAAGTTCATCAGCATTCTGATTGAAGTAATTGCATCTCAAAGAATAGATACTCAAGATAGAATTCCTGGAGTAGGCTAATTTAGTAGCATGAGCATAGTTGATAGCTTCAGTTATATCAAGAGAACAAGAAATTTCAACTGGTTTCCTCAATTTATTCCTTAATCCATTGATGAATTGCCTAGTTTTATCCTCAAGAGAATAATTGTTGTCAAGATCAATGTGCTTATAAAAAGAGTTTTTGTATTCAGGTATTCATCCACAGTTTTTCTTGATTTTTGTATTTGTTGGCTTAATTGATTCATTCACCTTAATTTGTAATGAGTAGTATACCAAGTTGCACAGAATTGATACACAAAAGATTCAGCTGGATGTACTGTATTATCCCAGTAATTGATTTGGTCATCCATAAAAGATCACCAAGTATGTGCAATTCCTTTGAGGTAAGAGAGAAGTATTTCAAATTTGTGAAGTTCATTGATGCAATTTGTCCTGCATTCATCATCAAATTCATTGAGTCAAGTAAGATAATCCTATTCCTCTCCTTTGAAGATTAATAGGTCCACCAGCTTTGTTTCCCTTTGGTTTTGTTGTTTCTTGAAACATTCATTCCAGCAATTGATTCAAAGAGTTGTTACAGTATATTAATAAAATTTTAATCATTATTTTGTTCATAATCATAGATAGGTTGATTTTGTCACTCCTTCCTTTGATCATTCCTTTGCCTTTGGCCTGGCCTATTCCTATATAGTAGTGGTTATTGTTCATCCTCCCTATTGTTCTAATGGTTATCATTGTGCTTTTCCTATCTATTACTTTCCTTATTATCATTTTGACCTTGTGGAGGATACCTATTTCAAGGTTGATTCAAGTTATAAGGATGGCTTGCTTGATCCCAAGAGTCCTGAAAAATATTATTCATTGCTAAGTTATAAGATAGTGAAGAAGAATAGATTGTATTATATTGGTTATAATTAAAAGTATCTAAAGAGTGAATTGAAAAAAGTTTCAGAAAATATTCGGGATAAGTGTTGCAAAATCTGGTGGTGGTTTTGGAATCCAGTTATCAAAGTTGTTATTTATACAATTGTCCTTTTAAGAAAAATTAATCCTGTCAGATATTCTTTTTGGAGAGTAAGGTCCTGTCGTTATTGCTAAAATGTGATCAAATTTATATTTAATCAGTGTGTCCAAGTGAAATTGCTTTTAAAAAAATAATTTCCAAAGAAAGAATTAAAGAAATAATTTATAATAAAGAAATATTCAAGAAAAGATTCACCAAGAATCCTTTAAACAGTATTACACAGTGTTTCAAAAGAAATATGGTTTGCTTAAAACCCAAGTTTATTTATAAATCAAGAAAACTAGAACAATTCCTTTAGTCCTAAAAATCAAAAGAAGATATTCAATCTCTTAAAAGAAAAGTGAAGTTATTTCTAAACTTCCAAAGTATATAAAGTTATTATTAAACTTCCAAAATCAAATGAAGTTATATCCAAACTTATCCTACTATTGAGCAAATTATTACTACTTATATACTTGTAAAAATGGGTCACTTAAACCTACTAGGCCTTCTGAGTTACCTAATTTATAATAAATTATATCACATGCTACATTTGATAAAGTGATCTATGCTAATTAAGTATCAAATAAGAATATTAAAGAATAACAAGGAAATAATTATAAATAAACAGATAAAAATAGAAATAGAATGAAGATTATGACTAAAAATAACTATCCAATAGTATTAAAGGCTATTTTTATTACAATATCAAGAACAGGAAAAAGAATTTATATTCACAGAAAACCCAGAACAAGAAGTTTCTGAAAGAATGGATGAAATAAAATATATGGAAATCATCAAGAATTGGATTTGTTATGGAAGGAAATGGTTTGGTTTTTAACTGCAGTCAGAATTTAGAATGATCTACAGTAATGACCTGTAGGCAATGATTTTATTGGCTAGAGAATTTATTCAAGTCAATAAAGGAGCAAAATATCATTCCTCAAGTGCATTTAGAGAAATGGTTTTTTGACAATGGGTGAGTTAGTATGTGAAAGTCAAAACATTTTGTAAATATCTTTTATATATACAATAAGTGGGTTAAAAAATAATAATAAATAAATTTAAAACATATATTTATTGCATTTTTAACAATTTATAAATTATATTTAAATCTATAATTCTTTATAATCTTATATACAAGTTTATAATATGTAAAAATGGTTTTTTATATAAGCATTTAAGTTTTTGATTTTTAATTTTCGTAATATTACGAAAAAATCGATCTATTATAATTCGATTGTATTTAATTTTTATAATAAATTTTAAACGAGGAAACTTTACGCGTTAATAAAAATTTTTACTATGATTTTTATTTTATTTTATTTATTTTTTGCATATGAAGATAAGATTATCTTAGTTTTTTCCCCCCTAGACTTATAATATATTCAAAATTCTATTTGTAATATTAAAATTTTATTGATAATACATCCCGTATGTTTATAATTATTATTATTCTTAGTCCAATTTTTAATTTAATTATGCAAAGAAAATAATCATTAGTATAATTAGAATAATATATTAAAAATAAATAGTATCCCCACTAAATGAATAAGTCGCCTGAAATACTATTAAAAAAAAAGTACAACACCTTGTTTGTAGTCGTTACCTAATCATACAAAAAAGGTTTGTAGGCAAACTTCCGAAGCTTTGGAAATGAAGTTTTTGGAACACCCGCTACAAAGTATGTATCGAACACTTTGAAGTCGCAGGATTTTATGTAACACTATTGAAGTTTAGCCTTTAAAAAAAAAAAAAAAGAAAGAAAGAAAGAAATCCTTTCCTTTACTTATGTAGAAGCAGACCTCCAAGGATTATATTTCGATTAGGAAAACCCTAGATCTTTATTGGTGTTGTGTTTGATATAAATATAGAAAAATATTTTTTTGCCTCTTTCTAATAATAGCATTCATAGAAATGCGATTCTGATTCAAGAAATGATACCCGACAATGCTTCGTTTTGTTAGATAAAATAAATCTTAAACGTAATCTAATTTGAATAAAATGGTTAGAAACCATCTCGCGTAGAACTATTTTATTTCTGTCTTAATTCCTCGCTATTTTTCTTTTAATTTTCTTTTCATATCTCCCAACCCAATCTCGGACTGCTATCTCATTTTGACCTACACGAAGAGCCGATTCACCGTTATAAAATTTTGATATGGTAAATGAACTGATGTAACCGATTTCAATCTCTTCATCGACTATTTTTTTAAAGGTAATGCCTTCATTTTCCTTCCTGGACTCGTATATTCTCCTGAATTTTTCTCGAAGTGTTTCTATATCATCCATATTCGGAAGAGCAGCTTCCGCAGAAGATAATCTTTTTTTGTTCGATTTGACGATTATCGGTTTGGGGGTATTGGTGTGTGGCTTTTTTCGTTCTTCAAAAGCTTCATCTTCGGGCAATGAAGCTAGAACAATTGTGAATAGTAATTATTAATTCATAAAGGAATTTTCACTTTAATTAATTTAAAAGGTAATTTACAAGTGTCCGACGTTCCGCCTTCCCCCTTAACAGCTACATATTTCGAAGGTTTACTGCTGTCTTTAACTTTAACAGAACATCATATGTTAAATTTTAATCGTGAATAAAATATTGCATGATATCCACATACTGGTAGTGCCTTTCTTCGCTTGTTCTCTAAGTTCGTTGAGAATCCTTTTTGCTGCACCATGGGGTATGTTGCGTCTTTCAAGTTCTTCTTCGGTCGATTGAAGAAAATTTTCACCAGAGTAATCTAATGTTTCTATAATCTGAATTGTCTTTTCATTAAGAAACAGTTTTTTGTTTAGTCTTAAGAAGTTTGTTACTAATTCTGGACTCCATTCTTCAACTTTAGAGGGGAGAGAAGACATGATGTTAAAATGATAAGGCTCATTGAAAACAAGTATCTATTATATACTGTATATCTCGTTTAATATCAAGTCTATTTTTTCCATAAAAAGACAATTCCCGGATCCTGCATGCAAGGTGTCGGTTGCACAATGACTATTTTCAGTTTCTTGTGGAATGTAAAGATTTCTTAGACAAAATTTTATTACTCTACTTTTCCGTAAATATTAAAATTTGAGCTTTTATTTGTGCAGAGACAAAAATACTAGTTTCACAAAAGAAACCATGGGAAAATTTGCAAATTCAATAATACAAATATCTCAATTTAGTAACAATATCAGATTCGTCACAAAGGTGATGCCTTTCCTTTGTAGTATTTCTGAACAAAGTGCTGCGTTATATATGAAAAATATTGTAATGATATCGTGCAATACATGCAGCAAAAAGAAAAATATAAAATGACTGAGTTTAACCAATTTGTGAAAAGCCAATCGTAACGATAGTAATAATTAGCGATGTTAATAGGTCAGTTTTAGTTATTAGTCCTAAACAATACAAATTAGTTTGATCTGTGATACTATAACAATGGACGGTAGTTTAAATAGTTTAAAATTTGGTTTTCACTTCTTACGTGTGAAAACATTATCTTAATTACTAATCATTTTAATTTAACCAATATTTTACTTTTACTAAAGTGAATTTTATGCTATGAGTGAGATTCTGTTTCACAACGCATAACAGCATTTTCCATTACGCTGTCTTCGGTTTCGCAAATCCAGGTCTTAACTTCTTTCCATGCGATCATTCCATAAACATGATTTCACAAATTCACAATAAATAAATTGGTTTAAAGTTCGTAAGTATCTATGAACATACGTACTGTAAGTTTGAGTTTTAAACGAAGTTTTGGTAGTAAGCATATAATCAGCAGAGATTTTTTACCAAAAATAAATGACATGGGGGTGCCGCTCATGCGTCACCCTTACGGCACTTGTGCGTTACCTGTGCGTTACCTGTGCAGCATCACATTCGAGTGAAATTTCCGGATCATGAGGAAAAATGTAAAACGTGACTTAATCGCAGATCGTCACGCAGTCAAATT